AATAGAAAATACCAGAGGTAAGGGTAATGTAAGGCTGGAGTTGGGGGCAGAAAGAGGGGAGAAAAGGATAGGAGGGATGCAGAAGTGAAGTGAGGTGTTCCATTTTGGATGCACGATGCACTTGATTTGCCTTCTGTCAGGATGGACACATGGACAGATGAACAACGGTCAGCTGGATATGTAGTCTGAAGGTCATTGAGAGCCCGGGCTAGGAGCTGGGAATGTGACTCAAGGCAGAGTCCTTGCCTAGCATGTGCAAGGCACTGGGTTAGACCCTTAGCAACAACAACACAAAAAAGATCTGGCTATAGACAGGAAGTTGAGAATCATCAGAATGCACATGTAGTGGAAGCTGTAGGAATGGACAAAGCTCTCCAACAGACAGTGCAGCTTAAGATAGTAAAGAAATTAAAATAAAAATATAAGGAGCTATTTTCTCACTGCCTGACTTTATCTCTGAGACCATAACATCAAATCATTTACATATCATCAGTGTTTCCAGTGATGTTTACTTGCTCTTAATTTAACTTGGTTTTACTGGCTATCTTCATTTTAAATAGAATAGCATTTTATGCAAGGGGTGGGGTGTGAAGCAAAAATGATATGTGAATTTTTATATTGCACTGAGTAATTTATAAAGACATAGGGTCTCAATAAGTCTAACACAAACTACATTTACTTCATCGTTGGAATAGACGGCTAGTTCTTTAATTTGGTCAAAAGATGAAGAAAATCATTTATATTTTCTTACCACATTAGATATACACAAGTTGAGTCTCCCTAATTCAAAGCATCCTGGGGAGGGGGTGTTCCTCTAACTAATCTGCAGACACAGAGGGACACTTACTTCAGATCCTCACTATAAACACACAACCTACAAGAGATGTTAAAAGCTTCCTGCAACCTCTCCCAGCTCCTTGGGGACGCTCACCATTGATAGTGCGATGCAAGTCTCTGAGACACTTTCTTATACTACATTTTTGTGAAAACATTTCGATGTAAAACACTTGTGTGAATTCTTTTACAACTTATTAACCAAAAATGTCATCCACCATAGCATTCTGCAACCTGCTTTTTTTCCTGGCTTAGTAAGTGGCTGGCCTGCCTCCTCAAAAGCTTCACAGTAGTCCATTGTATGAATGGTTTGTACTTTCTTGCAATTAATTCCTTACTAATGGATTTTTAATTGTTTTTTCTCTACTACAAGCTGTGCTATAGTGAACATCTTGGTACATTCATCTTGATGCTTTTTTCTTTTTTAAAGATTAAGTACCTCCATAAGCACTGTTAATATTGCCAGGCATGTAATTTATAATTCCTAAAGTTACTGCTTCAGAGTCTAGTTTGGCTGTCCCCAAGCAATTTTTCTCCACTTTTGTGTACATTAGTTTCCTGGTGTTCGGGAATCCTTGAGTGTTGCTGATGGAAAGTAGTTTTTTAAGTACAAAACCACTGAGTAGCATATAAATGGGGCCAATAAGCTAAACATAGTGTCAGTGGCTGAGCTAGTTCCCTATGGAGGGGGCTTTTCAAGTCATGGATGAAACCAGAAATTCTTTTTAATCGTTCTAAAATATATACCATTAATTACAGCACACTAATAAGAAAGAAGTATGATTTGGATTTAGATTTTTTTTTTTTTTTTTGGTACCGGGAATCAAACTCAGGACCTTGCGTTTGCCAGGCAGGTGCTGTGCCACTGAGGTATATATAACCAGCCCTGGATTTAGATTTAATATTATTACTGTAACATTTCAATTATAGATATTAGGAAATAACAATATTTCCATATTAAGACAGCATGCAAAGCAGTATCTGTAGGCTTTCTGTATGTATTGAGTATTTCTTAATGGGATTTTGGAAGGGGTGTGGTTTTTTGGAAGGATTTGTGTTTGTTGGATTTTTTTCTCTTTTTTTTTCTTCTTTTTGAAACAGGTGCTGACAGAAGCATGGAATACCTTGACTGCTCTGTGATCTGGCCAGCTACATGGGATTTTTCTCCCCGCTGTAGGCTTGAACGCAAGCCTGGGCCTTGAATGTTCCAGGCACTGATAAAGCTGTGTAGGTTATTGCCTAAAATGCTGAAAAATCCAAATATGTGCTAAACACAGAGAAACCAGCTGCAGCCCTGAGCCATTGTTCTTAAACCCACATACAAACTCCATGTCCTAGTTACTTTCTCGTTGCTGGGACAAAATACCTGAACAATTTAAAGGAAAGGTTTCTTTTGGCACAGTTTGTAGAGTTTCAGTCCATAGTGGGCTGATTCCAAGTGCAAGGCAGCCTGGTACCCAGAAAGAATTCATGGCACGGCAGCCAGGAAACAGCCATCAGGAAAGAAGAGGGATATACATATATATGTACAAATAAATCTCCTTCCAGGCCACGCCCACAGTGACCTGCCTCTTCCCCTCAGGCTTGGCCTCCCAATGTTACCCGCAGCTATAAGCTCATCAGTGGACTAATCTAGCAGCACACACCCATGATCTAATCAGCTCGCAAAAGCCTCAGCCTTGAGTGTGCGAGGCTTTGGGGGGACATCTAGATCTAAACCACAATGCTCCATAATTTACCTCCCTTGCTGTCAACATAGGCAGGTAGAACATTTTTTTCTCACTGTCCACTCAAGCACATTGCAAATTCCCTTAATAAATGCTTTGAACTGATCACTCTGGCATTTGGTGCCAATTTCTTTGGAATCCCCACTGACCACCTCTCTGGATGGTTTGGGGCAGTCCTTTTGTGAAACACTACTCCTTTTGAGGCAACTTAAGTCTAAGGTTCAGCTAAGAGGAACAGATAAAAACTAAAATTTGGAAAGTCTTTGAGATGGGCAGAGAGAACCCACTTCTCTCAGGTACATTTGGAAGCTGCAAACAGTTTTACGGTGCTAGCTCATGAGTGGTACTTGGTGAAAGAAGGAACATGATGTTAAACTGATGGCTGAAGAACATATGATATACAGTTTCTTTTTTTAACTTTTATTTTTTATTAGTACGTGTTTGCATTACATAATGATTACATTCCTGTGGCGAGTTGGTACATGTACATAACACACCTCAAGGCAGAAGAGTTTAACTTTATCCTAAAGCCAGAGGATGGACATTATACAGGAAAGGGAGATGATTAGTGTTAAAAATGACAAATGTGATAAAATGAGTAATGCAGTGATACATTTGTCTGTTTAGAAAGTAGTGAAAAAATGTGCTGGCTGACTGCTTTCAAGAGGCAATGTACAATTCAGGTAAGAGTATCACCCTTCTAAAGCAGTCACTTACACTACACTTACAGCTTTTCCACTCATGGTGATCTTGGGTAAGTAACTTCAATTCTCTGAATTCTCAGACTCTTTACCTGTAAGACTGACTTCATGTTACCTAATTGTTCTTCACAGATTTGTTGTCACACTCAAATGGTATAATGAACACAAAGTGCTTAGTACAGAATGTTCAGTGTTTGTATTAGACTGACAAATATGAAGTAAGTATAATGTTATGCACAGGAAGGGGAAAAAAAAAACAAGCTATGCTGTTAGGTGGCCAACCTCCACTCAAACTCACTAGGCTTAAATTCCTGACCTGCCATTTAGTAGTCATGTAAGAAAATCACTTAAATTTTTTTATGCCTCAGTTTTAGTTGTAAGGAGATGAAGATAACATCTTTCACAGTGTTGTGGTAAGGAAAAAAAATGAGATAATAAAATGCCAGATCATTAATTCACTTAAGTATTTACTGAATATATTTATCAGGCACTGGATGCAGTAGTAAACGTAACACATTGATACAGAAAATATCTTGTCTCTGTGGACCTTATTTCCACAGAACAAATAGTAATATATCTTTGGCACATAGAAGTATAAAGCGTTTATCACCAGACAAGCTGTGCAGTTTTTTTTGTTTGTTTGTTTGGTTTTTTTTGTCGTTTTTGACACAGGGTCTCACTATGCAGTTCAGGCTGGCCTTGAGCTCACTTTGTAGCACAGGCTGATCTCCAACTTGCAACAATCTTCCTGTCTCAGTCTCCCAAGTGCTGGGATTACAGGCGTGGGTCGCCACGCCTGGCTCCAAATGGTGCAGTCTTAAATTATAATTTTTACTGTATGAAAAGAATGATATCTCACAAATATTTATAGTAGTAATATGTTAGACATAATTAGAGACCCATTCCAAGATAATTTAGATATTAGGAAGACACCAGAAATTCGGATGGGAAAACAAAAATTTGAGGCTAAGTCTACTGGTAATATTTTGCTTTTATCATTTTTTGCGCCCCAAAGAGCTGTGAGTGTTACTCCAGGACCTGCTACAAGTCTTCCCAGGCAAGTACACTTGGCGCCCACTTCCTTACTACGATAAAACACGACGAACGACTTGGAAGAGAATTACTAGTTTCTACCTTATTACACAATGCATGTAAACACAGAGATTCTCAATATACCTTATTACTTCAAATGCGTCTACAGGGTGCAGTCTCAGGATGTTTTGCTATTGGATTTAAGAATTCAGTTCTTTAAAGGGTGGAGAGTGAAGAACGAATAAGTCTGGAGTATCCTACACCACCAGCAAGGCCCCGCCCCGTCCTCCGTTGCTGGGCCACTGGCTCCGCCCTCGTCCCCCCCGCAAAAAACACCAAACTTTGGAGACCCGGAGAGTGACCACCTCCCTTCTGCGTACCTGCACAGGGGTTTTTGTTTATTTACAGTTGAGAATAGGTAAGGAGTATCAGTCAATGGAGATGTTACAGTTGGCCCCCTGATCGTGGGAAACGACGCTATAAAGTGAAGTTTGTCCAAAAGCAGCAACCCTCTTTCACGGCCCCAGCGACTCCCTTCCGGAGTAGAAAAATTCATGGCCGAAAGCACCGCCCACCTCAAGGTGGGAACAAGTTAGCCCCACCTCCCAATGGTTCTCGCGGTCTTTGAGACGGGTTATTACGTCACTTCCTGCCTCAACACATCTGCTTCACCGGGATTGGTCAACTTTCACGGGCTGCTGCGTGACGTACTGCCCGGAACTTGTGGCCGCACGTGCTGTGGGGGCTTCAGAAGCGGCGGGGGTCTCCAGGACTTGGAGAGTGGACTCTCCGCCCCTCGTGGGGGTGAGCGCCGCACGGTAGCAACATGGTGAGCAAGCGTAGGTTGTTTCTGAGGCGGGCGCTGTGGTTTCGCAGAGACTGGGCCGGTTCCGGTAATGTTAGTGGCTACCTTTTCGTGCCGCTGGCTTACGCCTGTGGCTTCCGGCGCTTTGCCCGGTCCCCCTCATCTCCGAGCACAGGTTGCAGGGGAAGTGGCCTGAGCAGATGGCCTCCCGTTTACCCTTAAGGGCCTGCAGCTCCGCACAGCCTCTGTGAACTGAAGTCTGCGACACCGACACAAACGCTCCAGCCCTGGTTTTGCTGCTCACTTCCGGCGTTGGAGTCGCGCTTATCTGCCCATTTGCTTTGGGAAAAAGGATTTGTGCGAGAATAAGGTTGGGCCAAAAGTGAGACCACTTCGTTGGTGTTTTTGACCATCAGGGTTGAAATCACGTAGCGAAATAGTATGGACGGGGATGATCTTAACCAGTAGGTTCTGCTCTCGTGGCTTTATTTCCTCGTTGATAGATGAAAGGTTTACCGTGTTTGGAACTGTCTACTCCAGAATTTCTTGTGGCAGGCACCTGGTCTTTCTGGTTCCTGTCCAGCACCTTCCCAGGGCAGCCAGGCTAAAGAAACCCTTCAGTCACTTGTACATCACTGTGTTTAATTTCCTTCCCCTACAATTATCTTAATGATTTTCTTGCTGAGAACAAAGACGTGTGACGTTCCCACTGCTGTATTCCCAGCCCCCATAATGGTGTGGCACAGCATAGGTGCCAAACTTAGGTTTGCTGGAAGAAGGTAGGTGTGGATCCCATGCAGCCACAGCCTGTGTTGTCTGACCTGGAAGTGTGGATTTGAGAAGTCTGTTGACTCCTCACTTGATGTGTTGACGCTGCATGTGAGAACTATGATGTTATCCGCTAAATTTTGGTTCTGTTAGTGACTTGTTCTGGTGCCCTTCCTTTAAAGCCGCACAGGAAGAAAAAGCCCTTTATAGAGAAGAAGAAAGCTGTGTCTTTTCACTTGGTCCACCGGAGCCAGCGAGATCCTTTAGCAGCAGATGAAACTGCACCCCAGAGGGTTCTGTTGCCCACACAGAAAGTAAGTCCTGCTCTTTAGCCTGTTGTTTTGCAGACGGACTCTTGGTAGTGTTTGTGTTTTGCTTTTCTCTTGTTCGTTTTTGTAGTGCCCAGGATGAGACCGAGAGCTTCATGAGATCAAAGCAAGTGCTCTACAGTACACTCCAAACCCTTTAGTAGTACCTTTCAGCTAAGTTTTTAGCTAAATTTGGTAGTAGATTTAAATTGTTAGAGAGATATTATTCTCCTATAACTGGCCTGGGGAATGATGTATGACTCAATTTTTAGTACATGGGCAGATTTATACTGTGCATGTTTGTTTTGATTGGGGGCATAAAGCATCTTTATATGAGACTTTTAACCGAGCAAATCTTGAGTGATGGCCAATATTCACTAAACCACTGGCTACAGTGTTGCATGATGTTACTTAAGTCACAACCATATTCAATGTCTGCTTTACCTAAAATCCTGTCATTTCATGATCTCTACTTTAGGGCCAGGAATGTAGCTCAGTGGTGCAGAGCTTGTCTGGCAAGCCTGCATCCTGAGTTCAATTCCTGGCACCCCACCCCCAAAGAAAAAAAAAGCATAATCTCTTCTTCATAGACTGCATTTGTGCTTCCTGAGCACTCATCTCATGAAATATAAAACATCTGCGCTTATGGATTGGCTTTAGAAAATGCCAGAGAACTTTGTAAAGGTTGGTTTGACTTGTTAAAAGTGGATAAAATAAGGGCCAGGAATACAGCTCAGCGCACAGCACCTACCTGGCAAGTGCGAGGTCCTGGTTCAATTCCCCAGTACTACCCGCCCGCCCAAAAAGTGTATAATATGAAAGAAAGTATCTGTTGTCTTTACTTTTTCAGTAAAATCAATTTTCTCGTACATTGAGTAATCTTTGCGTATGAATACAAAAGTATACTTACCTTTCAGAGCCCTCAAGTCTTCTAGTCTAAACTCCCAAATACATGCTAGCCCAAGTTTATTTTTAACTTGAATTGTTGCAGAGAGATGTCTAGTCAGAGGAATTGCTTCAGTTCCTGAAAGGACAATTTTTTTTTTTTTTCTTTTCTTTTTGAGATGAGATCTCACTGTGTTGTTCAGGTTGGTCTCAAACTTGGAAGCTCAAATGATCCCCTTCCAGTTTCCCAGGTTCTGGGACTTCAGCCATCTGCCACAATACCTGGCTTGTTTTCGTTCAGTTTTAATTTTATACGGCACTCTGGTTTAGAGACTCCACAGTTCCTGATTTTGTCCAGATTCTTGTCTCATTACTCTCCTGTGACCTCTGCCTTCTGTGGTGAATGCTGTGCTCATTGTGAGATTCCTGGGCCTCATTTGTGGAAGGGGCACTAATTCCATTTTGTTTGTAATCCAAGATAAACGATGAAGAAAGGCGAGCAGAACAGAGGAAGTATGGAGTGTTCTTTGATGATGACTATGACTACCTGCAGCACTTGAAGGAAGCGTCCGGGCCCTCGGAGCTGATCCCCACCCCCAGCTCCAGTGTGTCCGGCGGGAGAGATGAGAAGGAAGAGCCCTCAGTGATTCCCGTAAGCCTTCTCAGTAACCTGACTGTGAGAGTGTGGGATGAGTGAGGAACCACGACTGATTTTCAAAACAAGATCACTGCTTAGGGCAAGAAGGGTTGTCAGTATGAAGAGCACAGATAGGTCACATCTCTGCCTAAAATTGTGTGTGTGTGTGTGTGTGTGTGTGTGTGTGTGTGTGTGTACACGTACGTCTGTATCATCAAGGGAGTAGGCTGCCTCGTTGCTGGTGATAGGTATCAAAAGTAATTCTTCGGACAGTTTCAGAATCTTTAGTTTATAGACATGGGCATGTGAGGCAGCACTTTTCAGTAGAAAAGCAGCTTTGTATGGTCCACTTCATACTTTATGTTTTAGGGTACAAATGAGCACATATTGGATTTGTACGGCACTAGTGCTACTCATTTAAGTTCTCTTTCTCCTGTTTATGTGACGGGTGCGCAGGTTCTGTGCCTCTGTTGTCTTTTAGTATAAATTTCCTTGTAGGGATTTTTATGTCACCTGGCATTTTTAAAAAGGAGACATTCATTGAGATTATGGAAGAGATAAAAAGGACACCAATTTCCCCAGGCCTATTGTCCAGTCCCGTCATGGTCTAGCGTTCCTTCCCTCGGGGGAATGGAATCATAGTTCTTCTACAGCATGTCATTGAAGGAGAGTCAGAGTTAGTTAGTTTCTGATACCATACCAAAGAAAGAGGTGATAAATGCAACTGTTCCATTTATGAACTAGATTCAGCTCTTGTAAGAACCCACATCCCACCATCTTACCTCCATAGTAGAACCAGCTTCTCTTTTTCTTTACCCCTCCAAGGCAATTACATCAATAGTATTACTTACTTTGATAGCTTACCTCCTTTGATACCCCACTGAGGGAAAAACAGGAAGGGGCCTAGTAGTGGTTCAACTTTCTTTTTTCTACAAAGTTTTAAAGTAAAAGTCCCAACTCTTGGCTGAATCGTAGTGAACAATAGAAGACTAGCTTTTAGTCCTTAATTCAGTTTAGGTAAAAGTAATCATTAATTGGTTCTGTAGCAGAATAAAGCTATTAAGTGGATACTTCAGTTGTATTTACAAGGGCAAGTGAATTATATATAAAAACAAGAATGCCATTGATTTTTCTTTAGTGCAGTGGAAAAATGTGAATTAATCCCATATACTTTTTTCACTTTAACTTGTAACAAACCACCAAAATTGAATAGATCAAAAATATGGATTAAGCCCTCAAAACAGAATGTAAGGCATTATAGAAGGGCAGTGAAGAAATGAGTAATGCTTGAGCTTGCCCTGATTTTTGCCTGAAGAAAAATGCCTGCTGCCATTGTAGAAAATAGTTGGGCGGGCCGGGGATTTAGCTCAGTGGCACAAGCACACCTGGTCAAGCACAAGGTCCTGAGTTTGATTCCCGGTACCAGAAAAAAAGAAAATAGTTGGGCAAACCCAGTATAGTTGGGAACTGTTGCAACCAATTTTAGAAAAAAGTGAGATTCCCCTACAACCAAAAGTAATCACTACCAAAACTATATCATGTTATGATTTTTTGACTAGCTTTTAAAGGCTTAAAAAAACTTACAGATAAATTTAAAAATGTAAATGCCACCTGACTCCTCCCCTTAGAATTGTAGGAATGGTCACAGAGAGTGATTAGTTACAAAATGAAAAGTTTCTGTTTTTATCGTAGATTATATACCAGGTTTTATTTATTTGGAGAAGATGCTAGAATGCCTATGGCTCTAAGTCACAGAAAATCCTAGTGCAGACTTGCTTTAAGGGCAGTAAATGTGTGTAAGTGAGAATCCATGTCACTAGTGACTTGTCCATGTCTTTAAGCTTCAGTGTCATCCTCAGCCAGTTTCTGGCGTGATTTTCAGACATAACATACAGAGGTAGGAAAATACAAAATATATGTGGTGTTCCTTTAAGACAGGTGACATGAATTTACCACAGTTTTTAAAGAATTACTAATTGTTTTGGTTACTTTTCTGTAGTTTCTGAGACAAAATACCCAGTGCCCAAAATTAAGGAAGGAAAGGTTTATTTAGCTCACAGTTTGTAGGAGTTTTAGTCAATAATCAGTTGGCTCTAAAGCCCGGTGGCATGGTACAGGAGCAATACTTCACGGTGACACAAGACAGCAAAGCCAACAAGATCATAAAAGGGGTGCGGTGGAGTAAGCCTCTTTTCTTCCCTTCTATTGTGTGTAGGCTACCTGCTCACACCATCTTCCTGCCCTCTTCTTGCACAGGCTCAGGATGTTTACAAGGTGAGGGCCCCCCTTGCTGAGTCACTTAGTTAAACTTGTAAACTTTTTAAGCTGACACAGTGAACAACATCCTAGAGCATAAGGGCATATCTTCTACACACTAGGATGTAGAACTGCTGAGTTACTTAGTTAAGCTAGACTTCTCAAGTTGACATGGTATCAACCACTACACTAATGTAATACCAAAAAAATATCATTTCACTGAACATGTTAAATGGGTGAGTTATACAAAAATACTGTTTTTAAATAAAAATTTATCACAGTAAAAGACATTGCCATTAATGCCCTTCAAAATACTCCCCTTCTTGCCACGTTCCAAAGCAGTCCTTGAAGGCATCTTTTGTACTTGTTGTGGGTGCTGCTAAAGAGAGCATGAGGAATGTTTCAGTCAGGAAACGGGGAAATGCAGTAGTGCTGTGGGACACAGTGGTGGGCGTGTGCATGTTCACTAAATTGTTTTGAATTCTTACATGACAGGAAGGCGCTGGACTTGCTTTGCATGACTGTCTTACTGAGTAAAAGTAAGAAATTTGGATGCTTGCAGTAGTTCTTGATTTTATAGGGCCTTGAAAAGCCAGGAGCTTAAACACAAAGTGAAAAATCAGGACCTAGTACAAGTTTCAGAAGGTCACATGACAAAGGTATTAAGGGAGTTTAATCTGGCAGAGATACAGAGGTTAGGTGTAGACTAGCAGGACAGCTACTGTAGTAATGTGTCTTGGGTAACCCTAAGTAGGATGGTGCCCAAGGGAGGGAATGAATTTACTCTGTAAAAATTCAGAGGGACATAGGGATAGAGATGATTTATGAGCACTATAGGAGTTAAGACAGCTGAGTCAAAGAAAGGGTAGACCAGAGATTCAGACATTATCGCCAATTTAAGAAGAAAAAAATTAATCTTGTTTTGAAACTTCAGGGAGTTGGACTTAAAAGTCTTGGATTTGAATCCAGCACCCCTCCGTGACCTATGTTGGGCAGATACACTGTTTAGCCCCTTTTTCCTGTTCTTCCCTGAAGCCTTCTGGTACTTGGGGCTTAAGGGTTAAGTGGAAGAGTGTCCTAGAGTGGGTGCTGTTAAGTGTTGTAGGCCATGGCTTTGGAGTGATGCTGAGATATGCAGATAAAGAATACATAACTGGCGTTTGGGTCAGAGACTGCAAAATGCAGTTGTCACCATTTCCTAGGGCAATGTGGTAGTTTAGAACAACAGAAATTTATTTTCTCGCGGTTCTGGAGCCCAGAAATTTGTCTGAAATGAATGTATTCACAGAGTCCATTCCTTCTGGGGTTCGGGGAAACTGGGTGAGGCTCCCAGGTCTGGGGCTGGGCTTGCTCACACCGCATCCTGAGAGTGCTTTGGCTCACAGCGGTCACTCCAGCCTCCACTGTCACGTGCCCGTTCTCCCTGCTGTGTCTGTGCTTCCACAGCCTTTTTATTAGGGTACACCTAATCCAGTACAGCCTCGTCTTAACCTGTCACATCTACAAGGACTTAGTGCATTTTTATTGCTGTGACTAACTCCACCATGGACTGGGGTAAGTGGCGAGGAAAAGAGACTTATTTTCCCTCACATCCATGCTTGAGAGGCCACATCTGGTGATGGCATCGCTGCTGGCAGAGACCCGAGGTAGCACATGAGAGACCTATCAAAAGTGGCATTTATAGCAGAGCCACTCTCAAGATGACCTGTTAATCCATTACATGAATGTGTTAATCCATTTATTAGGGCACAGCCTAATTACTGTTTAGAGTACAACTGGTCTTGCCTCTTAATATCTTTTAATGACAAGTAAATTTTAACGAGTTCCAGAGGGGACAGGCTATAGGCGGTGTAATTTTACATATGGTCACAGTCTGAGGGGCTGGATGTAAATTTTAAGGGGATACTTTTCAACCCAGTAGAATAGTTGAGAAGTATTTCATAAATTAGTCTGACGTTTGTGTGGTTTCTTTTTAAGAGCACTGGAATTAAGTTGCCTTCATCAGTGTTTGCATCAGAGTTTGAGGAAGATGTTGGATTGTTAAATAAAGCAGCTCCAGTTTCAGGTGGGTTTAATTTAAATGATTGAAACAATTGAGATGTGCCAGAGTTCAAGTTAAAATTCATGAGGAAAAGAAAATGCATGAGGATGGGAGGGGAGTGGTCCTTTTGTATTATGCCTTCACATTCTTAGGTCTTTAAAGATTCTATGTGGAGAAAAACATGGGAAAACTATCTGTTTCTAGTAGGGAAATTTTAACTAACTCCTTATGAAGAAGATAACTGACATCCAGCATTCATCTTTCCATTCTACCATCTGTGTAAGATACACTGAAAAAGTGGATTTTTAAAAAAAAACATTCGGTACAAACACTGTGAATTAGAATAAACATAAAAGTCCTCAGAGTTAGTGTTCTGTGTTTTCTAGGTGACCTAACTATTGACTCTCTCTTGCCCTGTAGCATTCATCCATTCATTAATTCTACAGATTTTTGAGTTGCCGGTGTGGTAAGATCTTTGGTTAAACCAGAATAAAACATAGTCTCAGACCACAAGGAGTATATGTCGGTTACAAAGATAATAAATGAGAAATTAAAATTTCATTACAGAAGTATATTGACACCTGTGGGTGGAGGGGTAGCAAACCTAGCCTTGGGGAGTTGGGCTAGGTTTTCTAGAAGATGTCTAAGTTGGTTTCTTTTTATTTTGTTTTGATTTGTGCTGAATATTGAACCCAAAGTGTATTACATGCTAGGGAGATGCTCAACCACTGAGTTACACCCCCAGGAAGCGGGTGGGGATGAGAGGATAGTGCGTACAGAAGACGTGTGTGTACAAAAGCTAGGAAATGTGAGTGTCTGAAGCCACATGCATTGTAGCATGCCAGAAGGAAGGGTAAGAAGAAATGTGTCTGGAGAGTTAAGCAGTGGCCATGTGGTACATGGCATTGGAAGCCATATGTGATTAAAGGTTTGAACTTGAAAGATTTTCCCGAACTCTAGTATTTTTAACAGTTGGAAGAATATAGCTGAAGAAATCGGTTAGAATTTAGTAAAGATTTTACAGTACTGAAAAGACAGCAAATAGAATAATCTATAGGTACTTACTGTGAATTGGTTCTAAGCACAGTTCCTTCTTGCAAGTGAAAGCTTTGTGGTTTGCTAAATATACAAAGTTGAATATTTTAGAACTGTAGTGAAAGAGTAATTAAAAAGAGGAGGAATTTTTTCCTTTCCATCTTCATGTCTGTTTCTAACTAGACAAAACTTAATTACTTTATCCTCACTAACGAATCTAGCATACTATCAATATTCAGTGTGTAGATTAAGTAAACTGTGCATTCTTGCTCTTGGTTTTTTAGGACCTCGACTGGATTTTGATCCTGACATTGTTGCAGCTCTTGATGATGATTTTGACTTCGATGATCCAGATAATGTGCTTGAAGATGACTTTATTCTCCAGGCCAATAGGCCAACAGAAGAGGAAGGAGGAGTGGATATTCTGTATGTGTGGTTTGTCCCTAAGCAACGTGACCTGACCGTTGCTTCTTCAGTGGGAGGGAAACCACATTACAGTTGGGAAGAGACGTGCGAGAGCATTTAGACTTCATCTGAGACTTGGGCTCTTGCCAGCTGTTGATAGCTGTAGCTGAAGTCTGAGGGGTCTTGTTTACTCCTTCATTATTTTTCTTACTCTGCCGGGTTGGTCAAGCAGCATCTCTGTTCCTGCCTCCCCCAAATGCCCTCTAGATTTATTTGTGCAAAGTTTTCTTGTTTTGTTCTGTTATTTTAAAGATTGTTTTAAAGTTGGGTTGACAGGTGTTTTATGACTCTGACCGAAGGAACTCTGAGAGCGAAGACGGCAGCGAGTGGGAAGATGCAGATGAGACGGGGAGTGGCGGTGACCGTGAGGGTGACTGTGACTCCGTGGGCCCGTTGTCAAATGAAGATGTGCCATCTCCCTTTGGAGAACCTCAGGGGGCCATAGAAAAGCATTTGTTCTGGGAGGAGGAAACAAAAAGTCGCTTCACGGAGTATTCTATGACTTCCTCAGTCATGAGGAGAAATGAGCAGCTGACCCTACATGACGAGAGATTTGAGAAGGTGAGGTCTCCCAAAATGACATTTCAGTACTGTCTCCTAGTAAACGTCACTGTTGGAAAAGCGCAAGACTGGAGCCAAAGGCTAAAACTGTCCAGGGCAGAAACAGCTATTGGTTGGTTGGTTGTTTAATTACAACATAAAACCACTATAGTTTTAGTTCTGGAAGGAATAGTATAGGCCCAAAATGTCGGCTGGTTAAAACATTCTGACTCTCCTCTGAGTCCTGATATTTTAATTGTGAATCTCGTTGACCAAAGTTTCCGAGATTTTGCTGAAGTGTTGATACAAGTATAAATGAAATTGCATTTTTCAGTTTCTCGTATCTAGAGTTTTCAAACAAGGCAACCCTTAAGAACACAGAGGAAAAGGAATATAATATACTCTAAAGGTCAGGATTACAGAGTCCTGGATCTGGGTGGCCTTTGACAGACCAGCGCCAGGGCTTCCAGCTCAGTCGTGTGGACTGTGTGCTTACACAGGTCTCTGCCCCACCTATGCTACCCAGTAGAACCACCTTCTGCCGTCATCTCTGATGTGTTTATTGTGTATGGGTTTGTTTTAGGTTCAAATGCAAGTTCCCCAAGGGCAGAGATTCTTGTGTGTTTCATTGATACATCCCAAGCCCTAAAGTGATGTCTGGCCTATCGTGGGTTTACACTGTTCAGTAAATGATGGAGTGAAGGGACAGTTTCCTTCAAGGTGAACCTAGATACAGGTTCTGACTTAGCTGCATCTTCCAGAAATACCCTCTTCCCTTTCAAGAGAGGCCAGCTGTTAGCTCTTCACTAATCAGGAAATGGGTCACCACCTGAGGAGTCTGTGACAAAGCCTAACAGCGCTAATAGCATTGAATAACACGGTGAATACCATCTAAACAAGCGTGAAATGTGTACATTAATAGGAGGCTTTGTTCAATTACATGATCTTTTAGTCTGTATTACCGAGGAATTTCGAAATACTTTGTAAATATTCTGAGGTAAAGATTTCTGCCAAGCGTTTTACTACCCGCGCTAAGCAGAATAACTGCCCTCCCTTTCCATGTCAGGAAGGAGCCTGTCTTCAGTCTGCATGTGAATCTGGTAGTAACCGGCCCTGTTGTCAAGGGTATTCAGTCGCTACTATTTTCATTAATTTACCATTAGTCGTGATCTTGTGATACTTAAAAATTATGTGGAGTAAAAATAACATTTAATATTACAGTTAATGAGTAATTTATTTTTCATGGTGCCATTTGTTTATGTTTAAGTTTTATGAACAATATGATGATGTTGAAATTGGAGCTCTGGATAACGCTGAATTGGAAGGTTCCATTCAAGTAGACAGCAATCGCTTACAGGAAGTTTTGAATGACTACTATAAAGAGAAGGCTGAGAAGTATGGTGACTTCTTTTCTCATTTGTCTCTTTTATTCCATCTCCAGTTAGGACTGTATTTGTACAACTATATTGCGGGAAAAGAGCCACATATCAGAATCCATCTTCAAGGGGAAAGTACATTTTCCATAAATTCTGGCTCATATATTGTTCATGTGTTTCACCTACATTTTAGAGTTGAGCTCTAAAGCTCAGTATGACAATAAGAAAATACAAGGAATTACTTTCTCAGTCCACTGACTTGAAAAGAGTCAGGGTAGGACGACTGGGTTAGAGTGGGGAGTATGAAGATATTCCATTTGGACAGCAGGATGGTGCTTCTAATTTCTGGCTAAAGAGTCAGTCTGGCTTAGAAGTACCCATTTTCTTTTCATCTTTCTGAAATGCTAGTTCTAAGAAGCAAATAGTTACGGCATAGAGAAATAAGAGTTTTTCTCTTCAGTTGGATTAGCAGAACTGACAAGCAAATTATGTGCCAAATCAGCATATGTCAAGTTGACTTCTCCGGAAGAAACTGGCGAGGTATTTAAACCTGTTAGGAAGGTCCTGTGTTCCGTGATCATTGTACTGTGCAGATCCCAGAGCAGAAAAAGGGGTTAAAGTGTGCAGATACATTGATGATGGGGACAGGGTAATTCTATTCTAAGTTTTAAAAAAGCCTGTCTTAGGGAACCCACCCTCTTGTTTGATATGTAGCTCTTTCTAACCGTACAAAGAGATCAGTCCCTTACCTGCACACCAGAAGGAAGAGGCAGAGACAGGTGTAGCCAAGTGTGACAGGTGGTCACAGGAGCATGTGGATTTTAAAATTTGCTATTTTTGTAACTTTTAGCAACAATAATAATGGGCATTATTTTTTCCCTTTATTTAAAAAAATGCAAACTGGAGTTGTGTGAAATTGAATACTCTTGAACCTTTTGAGGATCAAGACTTGCCAATGAATGAGCTTGATGAGTCTGAAGACGTTATTACTGTAGTTCTTGAAGAAACCAAAGAGAAGTGGGATTGTGAATCCATTTGCAGTAAGTATCTTAGTGTCTACTGCTAAAAGTATAATAGTAATTTTCTAGTATTAAGTATGTCAGCTTTTAAAGTGCATATAGTAGAAATTAAGCTTTTAGACAATTTGTGAAAAGAATTTATGCAGAATAATATTCCTATTACTGAGTTGTAAGTAGTTCTAAAACATTTTCTAGGAGACTCCAGTATTGTTTTGCACTATAAAAACACCCAGGTCAGGAATATAATAGGAACATAGTAATGTTTTGCTGAACTGGAATTGTACTTACTGATACCTGATTTTTTTTTTTAAGGTACATACTCAAATTTATACAATCATCCACAGCTTATCAGGTATCAACCAAAGGTAAGTCCGAGTGTCCTGATCTTTTTTAAATATCTAATGCAGGGCACAGAGTGTGCACATTTTCTCACTGTAACTTTAACCCTTTGTAGCCGAGCACCATCACTGTTATTCGTGAGCTACATTTAATGAGAATCGGAAATAACTCTCGTTCTGTGTTGTCTTTATTTCAGCCCAAACAAATCCACATATCTTCTAAAACAGGAATACCTCTCAATGTCTTACCTAAGAGAGGACTTACAGCAAAGCAAGTCGAACGAATGCAAATGATTAATGGCACTGACCTGCCTCGGGTATCAACCCAACCACGTTCTAAAAATGAAAGCAAAGAAATTAAAAGAGCAAGAAAGCAAGCTATAAAAGAGGAGCGCAAGGTAACACAGCTTACAAGGAGTTGATGGAGGGGAAGTTCAGGAATTTTTTTTTTCCCATGAAAGTAGTCCGTGTCATGTTACAGATGTGAATAACTTACGGGTCCTCTTGTACAGGAACGAAGAGTGGAGAAGAAAGCTAACAAACTAGCATTCAAGCTAGAGAAGAGAAGACAGGAAAAGGAGCTGCTGAACTTGAAGCAGAACGTTGAAGGTCTAAAGCTGTAGGTGGTGGGACATGGAGGATGAGGCGTGTTCCCTGTCGGGCTCCTTGTTATGCTCTGTAAGCAACCGGGACCTTCAGAGGCAGCTGTGTACTCTGACATTTTTACTGGCGGACGCTAAAGAGAAAAAATGCAATACTTAAAATGTTTTGTACAACCAGCAAGTTTTCCCTGTCAACCATCTTGTACATATTGTAACATTTTTAATTTATAAGCTTAGATTTGCTATGAAATAAATGACTTCATAAATATGAAATGTTTGGATAAGTTAAAGGAAAATATCTTCATAACTTGAATGGACTTGGTGTGTTTTATTTGTACAGTGGTCATAGTTTTTTTTGCAGATGTTCTCAAATATTTCTTTGAAACCTCTACACGCCTTTTCAGGAATTTCATGGTTTAATTTGCTGTGTATAGAAAAGTGGCCTGGTTAAACTCAACTTTGAAATGCTGAGTTTATTCTCCTTAGTAGTGAGAAAAGTCTTCCTGAGAAGATTCCACTGGTAGGAAGCTATTTTCCCTTACTGTATACAAAAGGACCATTTCAAAGGAAGGATAAAACTGAATATTAAAGTTATCAGAATTCATATTTCCTGTTACATTTCTGGATGACTTGAGATTTAGGAACAGTGAAGGCAAGAAGCAGAATAGTTGAAGAAGTAATGAAGTACTTTGGCGTTAGTGAATCCCTAGCTCAAAATCAGAAATTTACTTCAGCTTAAAACTAGAGTGTTGTGCTCGCTTTGGCAGTCTCAGCACATACCCAAAAAACTAGAATGGTATCTTTTCAGCAGTAATGCTTAGAAGCTTTTATATCTGACAAAATTACGTAGTTGGAGACGGTATGTTTTTGATGAGATGTTTTTCTTGAAACGCACAGACTTCCAAGGTTCAGGCAGTTGACACCATCACAGTTGTTAATTATTTGGTAAACTATGACTTCTTGCACCTAGCCCTTGTTCCCGGGCAGTGATTCATGTGTTCCCTGGACTGTGCTGTAAAAGCTGTGCGTGGCCACTGTTGGCCTGAATGGGGAGCAAGATGTCTAAGGCAGAACCATTTTTGGCAGGTGAGCTATATTTAATACCTAAATTATGAGAAGTGTTTTCATCTCTAGTATATTTTCATCTCTGGTTTATGGCTTTTCCAAAACGAGGTAATCCTGTTGTACAAAGTGTTACCAGTTTAAATAAGTTACTGTAGGAGCCAGGCATGGTGGTGTACACCTATGATCCCAGAATTCTGGGAGGCTGAGGCAGGAGGGCTACAAGTTCAAACCTAGCCTGTGTGATTTTTGACTTAGCAATACTCTTTGTCTTAAATTTTTTTTTTTTCTTAAGGGGTGGGGTTGTAGTTTAGTGTGGAGATCCTGCATGCAAAGCACAATTTTGGGGAAAAAAAATTGTAGGATTTTTTAGAGAGTTGAAAAAGTAATTGGGTAATATACTAACATTGATTTTTAAACCAAACTTGGCTATAGAAATAAATGTAGAATGCTGAGGAGTTTTAAATGCCAGCCTACAAAAGCACAGGGTCAGTTTTTGGTTTATGTAGTAGGGATATAAGTCTTGAAAGGATCAGGAGTTCCTTTTGGTGGCTGTCTCACGTGAAGGTTCTCAGGACCAGCAAGTCTTAGGTCACTTTCTTCCGGCGCTATGTATTTATGTAAGGCAGTGGTGGTGAACCTGTGCGCATGCATCACAGCACGCTGTATCACTGGAAGCTCCGAAAGCTTCGCCCTCACTAATGTAGGGTTTAATCAACATGTAATTTACAATGACAGGAGTGATGAAACCACAAGTCTTGACTAAGCACACAGTGGCATAATGTGAAGACAGTCCAGATCTTAACTTTATTCTGGAGTATAAGGTGACTATAAGCTTGTAATATTTTGTTTCATCTTCCCCCATCCCCCCACACACCAGCAGCCTGGAACCCCCCTTTCCACAGCCAGGCTTTCACATTGGCTGATGTTTTAGCCGTTTATTAACAGTGGCTGGGAGCTAAACACGTAATAAGCTCCATGCTAAGTGGCAGGAGTCCCCAGAGATGAGAAGTCTTGCTGTCAGTAACTATAACTTCAGCCAGGAAAGGTGTGTGCAGCACAGGTCAGTGGCAGTGGGAGCCGTGTGATGAGCACCACCTCTGCGAACCCTGGTACTCACTGTTCTTCCGAAGTCTCACGGACAGGCCTTACTCCAGGTTGGTGCTCATTCCCACCTTGTGTAGAAGCGTTTCCCTGAGCATGTGTGTTGTCTCTAGTGTGTGAATGAGTAGGTCTATCGGAAAGACATTTCAGAAAAGAAATGCTTCAACTTGGAGGGACTAGTAGCACCCACGTTTAGTGGGGTTAGCATGAAAAGGGCCTCTATGAGCCCAGGTAGAGGGCAAAGTCCTGAAGAATTTGCCAAGTATATTTTACTCCTATTTAAGTACTGTCCATGATTGGTGTAAAACCATTTGGTAAGGTCCAAGTGTCTTCACTGCTGTGGCCATTTCTGTATACTGTGTGTCGTGCACTGTCCACACTCATTGTGATGTGATCGTGTCACCTAGGTGAAAGACAATTCATCTTGGAACTTTACTACTAACTTCCAGTACTTCATGGTTTTGTTGGTTGTTACAGGGAGCCCTTCCCAGTCCTCGTCACGGCCCAGGAAGTTTATATTTGTAATCCCATGAAAAGTTACTGGAATTCTAGTGAATTAATTCCAATCTACCACTTCCAGTGCAACCCGTGGTGAGAATAAAGACAATCTATGGGGAGCCAAGGGGTCCAAAGTCCAGCCGTGATAGCTATCTGGAACAAAGGCCTAGACCCAGGACAGAACCCAGATTTTATTCATTTGTGAAGAAGGGAGTGGCTTGAGGATGACTGGCTGTGAGAGTGGCTGGAAGTATGTGAGCGCCGTGAGCTGAGCTAGGTAGGAGGTCTGAAATCACCTCTGCAAAGGCAAAGAGAAGGACATGCAGAAAGAGTAATCTGCCTAACATAGTTGAGGTCATGTCTGATGCTTTGGGGTCGGTGCTTCAGCTCTGATGTGTAATCTTTGAAGCACCAGGAAGTCACAGCCTCCGTCCCAAGGCTCAGTCCCAGGGGACAGTGTGGAGCATTGGCTCACACATCCTGCCTCATCCCAGCTCCCTGGAGGGAGCAACAGGGGGTCGGGGAAACATGCCTGCCATCTCCAAAGATTACCATCAGCACCTCGGCTAGCCTGAGAATGTTCAGTATAACAGCCTAGACAGTTTATAGATGACTAAGTTTCCTGAGAGGCAAGAGTAGAATGAAATTGACAATGGCTACATAAGCAAATTCTATATTGTATTTAGTTTGCACCTCGATAAGCATTGCTTAAAGCCAATTGAAGGGATAAGGAAAAGTCCCAGCCAGCTCAGTACATATCAATACATGGAAATAGGGTCAGGCTCTGCCAGAACGGAGGCCATTGCTCTTTCAAGGAGAGTCGCCTAGGTGGTCTTCCACAGTTGTTTTTTTTTTTCATTTTTGTTCCTTGGGTGTTGACATTGATTTGCCTTGTCAAGCTTGCTTTAGATGAAATGCATGAGTCAAATGGAGCAGAAGGTAAAAATTCAAATGGTCTTGTATTTTAGTTGTGAAACATATGGAAGATTAGTTGTGAAACTTACAGAGAATATAAACACATGCCCACCATTCAGCTAAGAAATACAATATAGAATTTGCTTATGTAGCCATTGTCAATTTCATTCTACTCTTGCCTCTCAGGAAACTTAGTCATCTATAAACTGTCTATGCTGTTATACTGAACATTTTCAGGGCCAGGGAGATAGCTCAGTGGACAGCACCTGCCTGGGAAGCACAAGGTCCTGAGTTTGATTCCCAGTCTGTATTATTTTATCTTTAAACCACCTGAGGGGTAAGCTAAACACAAAATCATCTGGTTTTGAACAGCTGCAAGAGAAGCATAAAGCCGGCTGTGTGAGGGCTGCATCTGCTACCATTAGGCGAAGCATCCTGGAGAAGATGAACTGAACAGTCCCTGGGTCTGACTTCAGCCTCTAGTTTACAAGAGCTCCTGCGCAGATGCCAGAGAGCAAGTCCTAGGGAACAACTCACCAGGTTTAGAATGTTCTGGGGCTGCAGAGTTACACAGAGGGTTGTATGGTTGGGCTATATTTTCTGCTTCTGAGGTTGTCATGACCTACCTCCATCTCACCACCCATGTGGATCCTTCCTGTGGGCTAAAAGGAGCACCCTCCTCGTCTACACATGAGGATGTAAAGGAGCTGGAGACTTGTTAGGCCATGGACAAAGAAGCCCAGTATAGAGCAGAAAGGAAGGCAGTTTTCCATGGATAGACTATCTGAAGATTATGAAGGCAGGCAGTACCTTGGTCCTGATAGCCCTCCACGTCTCTGTCACATACCTCCATCCGGGGCTGCTAGCTGTCTGCTCTGGAATGCCATCTCACTCTGAAGTTGAGTTGCCTTTTTCTGTGTCTTTCTCACACATTTGTGGGTCATATGCTCCACTAATTCTATAAGAAGGTACAGGGGATGTAAGCCTTTTGAAAAGTTGGATGTTTGGAAATGTCTTCTAATAAAAATAAAATAGATTCTTTCACCCATTTGGAAAAAAAAAAAACTCAGAGTTAAATGACACAGAATTCTAGGTCATAGATTATTTTATGTTGGAAGTTTTAAGGCTCTTTTTTACATATTTTAATTTTCCAGTTTGCTGTTTGGCAGTATGAAACCATTCTGATTCTTAAATTTGTGTGTAACTAGTTCTTTTTCTCTGGAAATTTGTAAATGTCTCTCTTCAGTGTTCTGGAGCTTTACAATGATTTTTATTTCTTTCAACCAAGAAGTCTATGTCCTGGAGATTGTGGAAAATTATTTTTAATTCTTTCATTGTATGTTCTGCTTTTCTTTCAAATTCATTTGGTATAGGACTACCTAGAGGTACTCTGATTTGCTTATGTACCATTTTTGTATCATTTTACTCTGTTTTCAGGGAGGTTATCCTAAATGTCTTCCTACTTGCTATTTTTTTCATTTCTCCTACAAAGTGATTTTACTTCCAAGAGCTTTAATGTTCCTTTAAATTATATTTTTGTTTGTTTAGGGCTTATATACCTAGAGTCTTTCTTCAGATCTTTGGAAACTCTTGTTCACTCATGGTTAAGATTTGGGTGGTGGGGAGATTTGAGGGAAAAAGTGTTCTGAGGGTTTGACAGACTGAGCTTGATCATAGGGTGGCCTTTTGAAAATGTCCCAATGTCACTATCTTTATTTCCCAGTATAATGGTACCTCGGTTTACAAACTTAATTTGTTTTACCATTTTAGGAAAGATGGCCGTGTTTGTGTTTGTGTAGGGAAGATGGCCATGGTCGTGTTTGTCCATGCAGAGTTGGTGAACAGAAGGAAAATTTTGCTGAACACTTTTGTTTTGAGAGAGGGTCTTACTGTGTAGTTCCGGCTGACATGGACTCATGATGTAGCCCAGGCTACATTAAATTTGAGGTGATCCTTGAATTTGAGGTGATCCTCCTGCCTCAGCCTCCCAAATGCTGGGATTACAGGCATATGCCACCATACTCAGCTTCCTGAACACTTTCATTTGTAAGCCACTGTCTTAGTTACTTTTCTGTCATTGCTGGGACAAAATACCTGATGCCCAAAATTAAGGAAGGAAAAGTTTATTTTGCTTATAGTTTGTGGAGCTTTCAGTTCATACTTGGCAGATTACAAGGCAGAGTGGCACATGGCAGAGGGCTACAGCTCCTGGCACAGAACACAGCAAAGCAACAAGCACAAAAGCCAGGAATGGCCTCAAGCACCCTTTTCCTCTCCCTTACATATGCAAACTATCCACCCCAGGGTGGGTGTAGCTCTCACACCCGTAATCAATCAAACTCTAAAAGCCTGCCCCATGGCCACATGAGGCTTTGGGGGGACACCCAGACACAAACCATAACAGCCACATTGTTTGCAGAAAGAAGTGTTCACAGACCACAGTAGTACTGTGCAGTGGTTAGATTTCCAGGGAAGTTTTCATTCTGCCTTAAAGATAAGAGTCTAGA